TGCATCGTAAATCAGACATACCAGCAGGATGTTAAATCTGAATCTGATTATGTAGACATATTTGTAGACTATTTTCTGTATACATTTTTATATTTAAAACGAGTTTGCTTAGATTTAGGCTATGATTACTTTAACTTCTGTTTCCTGAAATATTTAATATTAATTTAACGCTGTTTGCATTGTGGTTTCAAGGAATCCTTACCTTAGTAGTTCTATTTTGTATTGTTATATTTTATATTTTATATCATGTTCACCGTAGGAGTAAAATACATGATTTGTGATGAATAGTAATAACCTAACTATTAAGGTAAAATTAAAGGTCAATTTTATTTCTGCATCGAACACAAAACACGATGTACTTTCTAAGAATTTAGTTGAAAGTGTAACATCTGTTGCTCGTACAAATTATATACAGCGTTTTTTCATCGTTTGATTAATTAGCAAGAAAGATATCCTTGTAACATTATCGCGTGTAAGTGGAGCATCTTCTGCAGAGATAGCAATTGATTTGCAACATCGATAGCCAACATCGTTTATGACGAATAATTCGCTTGCAAATTTCCCATCGACGATGCTTCTGAGGCACGATGTTCTCCTCTCGCCATGAGAATGAGACGTAATAGATAGCTACGGCTTGGGCAATTGGGCGTTCGTGATCGTTGTCGCGTTTTTTTTCGTAACTTGTTTCACAAAACGAGAATAAATTACTCGCCTCGTAACGACCAGAAATCTGCCTGACCAACTGACGATACATGGCGATGCGTGCTTTCAGAAAGAATTCTAAGGTACTCGTATGCGTTTTATTTATACACTCTAGTAAAATCATTTGATAAATAGTGATCAAAGATAAATGATTATTACAGTTTACACAGATCGGTAGATCTTTGTGCATTCGTAGACGACTACCACCGCTTTTTTCTTTCGAAAGTGGAGTTAACTTCAAGATTAACGTTGCTTCGGTAATTGCTTTCTACGATCGACTGTAAAAATAAGAATAGAATTTTATCGTCTGGTGGCAGTAGCGGATTATAAAGGAACTGCGTGGAGAGCAAGCAAATGACTAAAGCCACGGTCTAAAAAAAGGCGCGGTTAACTTACACCGGTATATTCACGTCATTAATTGGCGTGTTCGCACATTCCTCTTGCAAAATGAGTCACGCTCGCGTTTTCTCCACTTGATGATCAACATTTCGCGGGAAGATGAATCTCTCTTTGATGATTTCTGCGAATAACCGTCTGAGTCACACAGAGACGGGGATAATTCCGAAAATAATTTCCCAATTAGTCGACAGATGGCGCCACTGGCACTTTTATGGACCAACAAGATGGCAGTCGCGTACATTGAAAAAACCATGTCAAAAGAGCAACAATCTCGTGCTGTGTGACGCTTGTTCGACCTTTTTTTTTATCTTGTTGTTAATGAAGAAACTTATCACAATGTGATTGATCGTGGTGTTTTAAAAATTTATCTTTTTTACAATTTGTAGATTATTTTTGACAAGTTCCAACAGTGTGTCTAATTACACGACTAGAAAGGGAATGAAGGATACCATCGTCAGAAGGTCGTTCAATTAAGTTCGGATATAGGAAATAAGGAAGGCCGATGATGCACGATGAGAGACGATTTTACGCTCGAAGTGCATCTAAGCTAACTTTCTTCACAGGGGGAAAAAAAGCCACCACGGATAAACGTTACCTAACCTGTAAAAGTCTGCCATGGAGTCGCTGACTCTCGTGCGCGTCGGTCCTCTCCTTTCTCCTACCAGTAAGTTTGCTTGCATGCATTGCAAGTGTGTACACAACACGTACACACCCCCGGTTTCTAAGAAATCTTAGGGCGAGTTCTACATTCGTACGACAATACGATAAATATAAATTGTGAGTTGTACGCAACGTTGTATTGTATAAATATAATATATATATACAGTACAAATTACATGATATAAAAGTATAAATTATACCACACAATATCCAATATAAAGATATAAGTTATACAATATGATATCCAATGTAAAAGTATAAATTGTGCAACACACGATGTTATGCAATTAAATACGAATATAGAACATACTCTGTTGATATATTAATCAGCTGTTACTATATTATAGAGAAAATATAGTAATTTTGAGACAAAAATTCTCGACGTGCGTGGCAAACAATATACTGTTTCATTTACATTATATATTGCATATGTGTTGTATTGTATTATACTGTATTGTAAAATATGCATACACGACAACTAACGGAAAATACTGAATATTAGAAAACAAACGCTTGCCCCAAGACTTTTGAGCGGGAGTGTACTTACATTACTCCCCCCGTTTTCTCGTACGTTGTACGTCTTCTCTCTCTCTTCGCTCTTTCGTCATTTTTATCCGGTACAGTTATTTGAAACAACATAACTGTCAATACGATCGACGTTATTTATGCGACGCGTGCAAATCCAAGTGGAAAACGGAAGTTTCTCCGACGTGTGCGTATTATTAAGTTAAATTACGAGCACTGTATATCTGCTGAAAAGGGATCGGAGACGAAGATTAAAAAAGAAAAAAAAAATAGAAGGAAATATTAATTCTAAGGGTTTAGAAAAATAGGAGAGAATAGAAATGTTTACAATTCGAACGTGTATACCGTTTAGATTCGAATCGTCACAGATTTCCAGATCCAAGCAAGATTGATATCTCGATGAACAGGCGACAATTTCTAGTCCCAAATTTCGCTGGGTATCGTCCAATTCTTACGAGAGAGTCATTTTAAAAACTACGTCACTTCGATCGGCCGTTACATCTGATCTTACATCACCGCGTGGCGCAGTGTTTGGCAATTAAACGAAGCTTCGACCTCGGCCGGAATTAGATCCATTTAAACGCACCGTGTGTTCGGAAACACACATATACTTAACCCTTTGAGGATCGCTGATTGTTCTCAAACGCATCTGAATTTTCCTCCAGGAGCCGTTCTCAACCAGCTACGAAAAAAAGGAGTCGAAGTGTTTCTGACAATAGAGATAACAGATGAATCACGTCACTGAAGAAAATATTATATACAGGGTGTTCTATAACCGAGTGGAAGATGATTCACGAAAGAAATTCACTTGGAAAAAATCAATTTATGAAAATTTATTAGGTGTTACTTGACCACATGTCAGATAATTCTAGACGTGACAAAAAACTATGATTAACAGGAGATTATAA